CGTTAGAGCTGGGCACTTTTATCATCCAGCCCATAGGCTGAGATCATCAGTACAGGCTTCTCCTGGTTGGCTCGGCAAACTCAGATAGGAGGAGGACTTTTTCAGTTGTGGCACCCTGCCTATAGCAATCCCCCCAGGAAGGCTTACCTGTTGCCCTCTTCTTAATTTTTCCAAAACCAGGCACCTATTTTGTTCCTTCAGACTGTGTATTAAACAGGATTACCTGCTAGTTTCAATTAAACGTTTCAACTGCAGTTAGGTTTTTATAATAATAATAATAATACTTTATTATCATTGTAAGTATATACACATACAACAAAATTCACAGACACCCAGAGACCAGACACATGCACACACATAAAATTCCCAAACACTCCCCACCCACTAAAAGTCCCCCACTAAAAATACAAACATCTACACCGCAGGCCAAGTAACACAGTCCAACTAATTATTCACTACTGGTGTCTTTAAGCTCATTATTAATTGCAATTATAGCTCTTGTGTTGACTTTTAAAAATATATTGTTTTCATTTCCTTATATTTGGTAGCGATCAGCCCTGGGACTCATTAGACTGAAAAACATTAAATAGAGGTACAAACATATGTTAAACACACATCACCGCTTTCCCATTCAGCCCCCTCCCCACCTTGTTTGGAATGCCTCTTGTTTTTTACTCTAATGCTTCGCCTGTAAATGAACCTGATCTCAGATTGTTTGGTTGAATGTTCATTGTGTTGAAATTTTGGGTTGTAATGCACGTAAGAAGGAAGAACAGGGAAATCACTTTCTTCTCAGGTGTTCCATGACAAATATAGACAGGAGAGAGGATCTGTACAATAAAAAAATGAAGGAATTATTCCAAATAGAAAAAAAGGTTCAGCTGTTATTGAGGCTATTATAGTGAATTGCTAGGTCATGCATATTTTACAATATTTACATTCTATGGTACAGTTGGGTTTGGAGATATTTGTTATACATAGCAAATGAAAGTTGTAATTACTGTTTTCCTGTAAGTTAGCGAAAAGGGAGAACAGCAAATAAAAAAAAATTAAAGCTCCTCAGATCAATAAAACAACAAAATGTGTCATGGATAAACTGATCCCTAATCAGTTTTGCTCTGTCTGCTGCCTCTTATATAAAAAGAGGAAGGGGATCAAATTTGCAGTCCTCCTCTGAAGACTGCTGGGTTCAAAGGATCTCCTGTTGTCTCTGGGGGAGAGTTGGGCAGCTGTCCCATCATGGCACTGGACCCTTTCTGGGGCAGGAACAAAACTCAGTGGCTTGCAATCATTCCCATCTGAAGCATAGAGCCATAGCTGTTCCTCCATATTTCATCTGGGGGACAATGAAGTAATTATTTCTGTCACTAGAGTGAAGATGGCAAGACACATCAGATAATTACAACCAGAATCCAGGGGCCATTTGAGGGGGTATTCCATGCTGATAGTGGCAACGTGTGTGTGTTTAAAAGAACACACACACATTTATTAACCGCTGCATCTTAGATTAAACCTTAAAAAGAGAGAGAGAAACTAAGCAAGATGAGTCTAAAACTACAACCTAAGGTCTAATAATATAGCAAGGAATCATCAGAGGAAAGTACAGCATGTGTGGCAATTTTTTTCATTCTGTCATCAAAATTTAGGTAGCTAACTTTTCCATGAGAGCTATGAGAACTGAAACTGACCAACAATCCATGAAACTGTTGGGAGAAAACATCCAGATGTGTTGGCCAGCAGAGGTGCTTCTGCTGATCAGGAGAAGTGAGAAGCCTTTCTGTGGGAAGGCTCAGGGTAGGCAAATGGTTAAATTCTCAGAGATGTTGCTCAATTGAGTGAGATTTTGCAGATAATATTGATAACACTTGTGCTAATAAGGATGCCAGAACTAGTACAGACCTAGCTGTATGCAGCCAGGACATTGACAGACTGTAACTTTTGTGTGTTTGTTATTCACTTTCTTAAGTATGTGTGTTTTGGTTTTATGTTTGTGCCAAAAAAAAGTTTTTAAAAAGAAGATCTAGTAGAAAGCTTGATGAATGCAGCCTTGCCAGCATGCATTTTATAAATACTCTTTTATAGATGTCTCTTACTTTGGGGATGTGCAGATAGGCTGCTTGAAAGGTTATCTTAGGTTATCATAGAACTGCAAAGCTGGAAGGGACGCTATGGATCATCAAGTCCAGCCCCTGTCAAGGAGGCACGGTGGGGAATTGAACTCTGAACCATACCTAAAGCACTCATTTATCGAGCAGTTTAAGGCAGCCCTCTACTTGTTTTGGGGATCCTTTCTTGTCCTGTCTAATTATCCAAGGCTTGGCTGAAGCCTCAGAAGTAGTTTATTTTTATCCAAAGATAGGGGGGTTGGCCTTCACTGCATTAAGGGTAGAATATTTGGACCCCCTCAACTGAAAATAAAATTAATGAAAACCCAAACATTCAGGGTGATTTTCACCCAGCATTTAATTTAAGATTTTGGAGGCGTGCAGGTGGCTACACAACTCTAGGGAATCTTATATGACATTTGAATGTGTCATGTCATGGATCGGGGGCTGATTTGGAGACAGAAATAACCAGAATGGAATCGCACCCTTTCTGGTTCTGCAAACCTTTCCATACCTTTTGACACTATTGACAGTTGCACCCTTTTGGGCCATCTTGCTCAATTAGGACTTAGGGGACAGGACTTATAGTGCCTCCATTCTTTCAGAAGGAAAGGACCTAGAAAATGATTGCTGCTCCACCCACAGCCATCATGCCTCCAGTGCTTTTCAACATCTCCATGAAACTGTTGAGAGAAATCATCCAGAAGTTAGGGCTACAGTGTCATCCATATGCTGATGATACTTCTGTCTTCCTGTTCTTTCTGTCTGTTATTCCTAGAGAGACTATGGACCCTGAGCATCAGGTGGCAAGGTGGAGGTTGATCATAAAGGCAATTTGGAGATAGAAGACAATTTAAGTATGAATGACTGTGAAAACTCCAGAATATACATCTGGATAAGATAGTTATAAAGTGACTATACAGTATTGTGGATTGCTTGCTGATCTGAATAGAGGAGAGGAGCTATGTCTGGATGGTCTTCTGAAAGATCAGGATCATAGTTTTGGAGCTGTCCTGGACTCAATGATGTGTTGGTAGCTAAGAATGATTGTTGTAATCTATAATAACATAAATTGAATTTACCTCACATACAGATATCCTGAATGTTTGGGTTAGATTAAAAACTGACTGCTAGGAGGAAAAATTATTCCATAATCATTCAAGATGGAATATAGCTAGCAATAGATTTGCCAACTGGAAATTTCATATCATCCAGTATTAGTGCAATTTAAATCTTGCTTCTCTAGCAGTGGGAAGGCATTGGGTCAAACTACAGGTTATGTCTTTTTTAGTTTCCTGTAGTGTTTTTCTTTCTTCTGGAGTGGGTGAGTCCACAGTACACATGATCAGCACCTCATGTGTGGCGGGAAGATTTTATTTCCCCCCCCCCCGAAATCCCAGCCCCACACAGACAGGGTTTTCACCACACCAGGAAAGGTTCCCCCCCACACAACTCTCTCATGGGGAAGAGGGAGTTGGGAAGCATCTGAGGAGAGGAAATATTAAACTTTCCTTTCCCATATACTGTACAATGTTCCTAATCTTACTGCTTACTTTACAGCAGGAATGGGAAACTTCCTACCACCACTGCCACTAAATGTGCCCTTGCAGCATTGATGGAAAATCACTGTGCAATTTTTCCTTTAAAACAAGAGGAGCACCCCGCCCACATATGGATGTGTTTCCAGAAGCTTCCACAAATTCACTCAATGACAAATTTAGCTGCAGAGATGCAGGAATGTGTGCTTTGGAGCCGTGGTTCTCAAACTGGGGTCCTGGACTGCAGTTCCCAGAAGCCTTCACCACTTGCTGTGCTGGCCAGGATTTCTGGGAGCTGTAGTCCAAGAATATCTGGGGACCCAGGTTTGAGGACCCCTGCTTTAGAGCACATATTTTTACCTGCAAGCTATTTGAATATTCTGACCCTTCCAAAATATAGAAAAGCTTTTACATTAACTAAGTTTAATGTACTTCCTTCAGTCCTCCTGGAAGGCAGATACAAGAACATTCCCTATGAAGAGCGCTTATGTCCTTGTGAGGCTGGTGTGGTGGAGACGGTTGGCCATGTTCTGTTGTATTGCTCCTTCTACACTGGTTTCTGTGACACTTTTATTCATCCAGTTTTGCAAAGCATCCCTGGAAGAGATTATGAGTATTATACACGTTCTCTGCAGGCAGACCAGTGTCCATCAATAACGATTAAAGTAGGCAGCTTCTGTGCAGCACCACTAGTCTGCAGGCGAGAAATGGTGCCTTAATCCTCTAGATATATACTTGTATGGATGGATATGTGAATATGTATGTATTGTGGGTGGGGTTATGCTTCTAACAATTATCTATGGAATTTGTTTCCCTGGGAGTCTGCCGCACATAATGTATATTGAAGTTGTGTTGATTCTGTTTATTCTTATGCGGTTGTTCTGTCTTATTCTTATCCGATCTGTTGATCGTACTAATCAATCAATCAATCAATTAATTAATTAAAGAGCAAGGAATGCTGTATAATGCTATGCAATTAATGGACCATGTAGTTTGACCCTGTCTTCATACATTCAGCAGCTAGTCATCACCTGTAAAGAAATGAAATGTTGTAGGTGTATATATAAATTTACCCTGTGTCATGAATGAAATTGACCTGATCTAGCCATTTTAAAAACTTGTCTTGATGACTCTGCACTGGAACTTGGAAAAGTCACTCTTTGAACTATAGTTACCAGAATACTATTGTAATCCAAAAAAGGAACTTTGAGGTTTGGAGATGGGGCTATAAGATCAACATAGACAAAATGAAACATTGCAATAAGCTATTATTTTGCAACTAGGAATCCAAATGAATAACTTATGCTGGCAACTTTTTTTCTGAGACACATAAGATATTCCTTAATTTCTTTTCCAGGCTAGAGCAAGAAATAGAAAAACTAGAAAATGAAGAATCCCAAATATCTGCCAAAGAGCGTGTCATATTAGAGAAATTAAAGGAGACTGAGAAGTCTTTTGAAGACTTGCAAAAGGTAAGGTTAAAAGCAAATAGGCAATCTAATCATATTCATGGAAAGCATGAAATATTGGAATATTTGTGTTTTTGTTGATATGATCATTGTGCTCTTATCAATACATTTATTATACTTTATTGAAGTTTTTATTTCCAGCAGCAGGAATGTAGTACAAACAGGGCTGAACAAGGATATATAGGAATGCAGAGCAAGGCTTACATCTGAATAGTGGGTAAAATTAGAATCAAGATGATAGGCTGCACTGTTCAGCCCATCTCTGCCCTATTATTCAACAGGTATCCATCACATTTATTATAGGATTCTGTGTAGGCTCTCCAGATGTTTAGAAGAGATGTCCAAAAGGCATTGCTCTCAAAAGATTACAAACTTGAAAGTGGAGACTGTCATTATTTCATTGAAATAGGTTTTTTTTAAAAAAAAAAAGTTATAGGCATTAAGAGTGGAATCTTACTGAGGCTTAAGAAGAAGCCCTATTGAATTGAATGGGGCGGAGCCATAGGAATTTAGGAAGCTACACTATCCAGACCATAAACCATCTTGTCCAGCATTGGCAACACTGGCAGGTAGTGGCTTATCAGGGTTTCGAGCACAATTCTTTCAAGGGGCGGTTTCTGAACAATGGACTCAACTAGTTTTATCCTGACTGATTTTTAACTGAAAAGGGTGCCTTGCCTGTCAATTTACCAAAAAGAAAAAAGAAAAGAAAAAGGTTGTCCCAGTTCTTCAGCTTACAGTCAAAAATACACATAACAAAAGGAATAAAGAATAGAAAAGGAAGAGGAAGAAAGTTAACTAAGGAAAAATCCTTAAGATTAATGACCAATTGGGATGGAAATTCCGGGTAGAGTTGCTAAAGCCCCTCTTCTCATTTCTGCCTCTGATGAAGCCTGTAACAGTTTTAGACTTATCTAAAATATTAGATAGGCAAATAGAAGCTGGATATTTTGGTGGATAAAATGTGATGGATAGGTGTGAAAATATCTGTGCATGAGGAGAGAGGGAGGGTGAGTGTCTGTGTAACTAGACCTTGTCTGTCAATGTGTCTTGTCTGTGATCAGCCACCTACTGTCACATGTGACCCTCAGAGATAAAAAGATGGTGTACTGCTGCTTCATAGAACTGTCATAGCTGGTTTTAATAAAAGGTCTGCGATGCACTTTGAACACTGAATATGTTTTAAAATATGCATTATGTCAAAAACTATTGACTCCAATATTTTTGTCTTTTCAGAGCTTCTCACATCAAGATGGAGGTACGTGTTTGTTTATTCTGCTATTGATTGTTGTAACCAGTAATGATTTAGCAGACAGCACAGCCCACAGCCTGGGGACCATATGTAATTTTGGCCAGTCTATTAGTGGTCCCTGTCCACTTTTCCTCTGTCCTCCAGCTGGGTGGGGTGCTCTGGGTGTGAACCATGGTTTCACTGCTAGTAATCATGGTACTTTGAATAGTAACCTCAGTCAAGATTGCTAGGCAGGAGAGATTAAAACTCTTCCCACTTCTTAGCTCTAATGCTGCTGAAACTACCATTTCCCTGCCATTGATCATGGTACAGAAAAGATGATATAGATAGAGAGGGACAGGCAAAAAACCAAAACTTCTCCTTACCTTGACATATCTAATTCCAAAAGTAACTAGTTAATGATACTAGTTATTCATAGGCATCCTTCAGTCTTGAGAGACTATATTAACATGCTCTGTATGGAGGACTTCGACACTATATGCGAAGCTGGAGTGTCTTCTCCAGAGCACGAAGCCTGGGTAAAATAATATGGAGGATAGGCTGTTACTCAAGCAGCAAACCCCCCCTCTCCACATCACTGAAATAGTCCAATGGAAAGGCACGAGCCAATACAACTGGTTCCAGCGATGTTGCAGGAGTTTAGTTAATGATACTAGTTAATGACGTGGCGGCGCCGCGGGCTAAACCGCAGAAGCCTTTGTGTGCTGCAGGGTCAGAAGACCAGCAGTCGTAAGATCGAATACACGCAACGGAGTGAGCTCCCATCGCTTGTCCCAGCTCCCGCCAACCTAGCAGTTTGAAAGCATGCAAATGCAAGTAGATCAATAGGGACCACCGCGGTGGGAAGGTAACAGCATTCCGTATCTAAGTCGCACTGACCACGGAAGATTGTCTTCGGACAAAACGCTGGCTCTATGGCTTGGAAACGGAGATGAGCACCGCCCCCTAGAGTTGGACATGACTGGACAAAAATTGTCAAGGGGAACCTTTACCTTTACTAGTTAATGACAGAGAAATAGCAATATTGGATTGCTTGGGTGAGATAACTGGTGGTGGCTAGGGGATGGAAAAAGAGAATCTACTTGCAGGATTAGTGTTTTGCTGACAAAAGTATTGAGAAGGGGGAGAAAGGTGAAGAGAGTAACATCCATGGAGGTCACATTGGGCCATTTTCACCTAAACACACACACGTACCTTGATCTCAGTGGGCAAGAAAAGGGGTTTTAAATTTCTCCATAAGTGCTAAAATGTTTGGGGCAGGATTGTGTGTGTGTGTGTGTACATGCATGCGTGTATGCTAATGTGCATAAGAATGTCTGATTAATCATGTGTGGCTCTGAGCCAACAACAAATTCAGTTCTTGGTGGGAAGAAGGTTATGCATCCATTCAATATGTGAAATTTTCATTTGCTATTACTCTTATCACAATTATCATATATGTGAATTGAGTTTCAAAACAGTCCTGTCTGAAAGATGGAGCTAGCAACTTTCCTATGTGGTTAATGCCAGTAGTAAAAACAAAAAAATGATTTCATGGACCTCAGATCATAGTAATGTTCAGATCTTACATATCCCTTGAAGCAACAGTGTTAAATGTTTGCAAATCTTTGAATTCTGCTATTTGAATTTAATGGTCACCAAATACCTCTATACTAAATGGATTTGCGTGAAGTAAATCTTAGTAATTACTGAGGTATGTTTCTAGAGGGTCAGTCATGCTGGCTCAGAATGATGGGAGTTGTAGTCCAGTATATCTGGAGGGCACCAAGCAGAAGAACGCTGATCCATAACACAAAAACCATGCTAAAATCAAGTGTAAGAGTCCCAGAGATCTGGATTTTGAAAAATTGCTGTAGTCCAGTGTGTAAGAACCCAAAGTAGCAAAAGCATACCTTGGGAGAATGAAGAAGGGACTACATGGCTTTGTAATGTATTTTATTTGTTTGTCTACAAGCATTCATGTCAGGACTGGTTTCCAAAATTAGATGAGCCTTCCTTAGAATAACTGAAAATGGACTGTCCCGCCCAAGGCAAGAAACCTTGTAAAACACACAGCAGCTGTTACCAGACATGGTGCAGGGATGTGCAACATATGGTGATGTGCCATAAATAATGGTTTTGTCTTTATTTATGAGAACAATTATTAAAGTTGAAGTATCACTCAAATATTTATTTGTTAAGCCTTTTGAATGTCCACACTGAAGTAATTATAATAATACTAACAAGCAGCAACACCCTAATTTTTGTGCAGTTTTGTTTCGAATTCATCATTTATGGACTCTCTTGATCTGTTCATGAATTTATCCCTATTCAGTCATCCTGAAAACTAGGTTAAATAAACACGCCCTAGCTTCTTGCAGTATTTCATCATTCTCTTCACATGGAAGGTGACATTTTGAAGCTCTGTGAGTGAAGACTCCTCATATAACCCAGAATTCTGGAAAGATCAGCATTCTGGACCCATGTGGAAAGTCTCCATTTATAGAGGACCCTCTTCAGAAGTTACCTTTCTCAGAAAGTTGCCTTTCACAGGTGGATGTTGAGAGACATCCCACCCCCGCCCCATCACAGGTTTATTGATCTCAGGGTAATGTCCTGTAGGCAGGAAAATATCCTCCTCCCCTCCCAATGATTTTCATGGCCTCCAAGTATATCTCAGCTTGGGGGAAACAGCTGGAAAAACTGGAGAAATGCTACTTCCAGAAGCTTCCAAGAATGACAGTTCTCCTCGAAAAGAACACATGCCACCCCATGCGCTTCTTTCTTTGAACAAAGTAGACTTCTGGCTATTTCTGGTTTCTTTGGGTTGTGTTTGTGAAGCAAAATTGTTTTCTGGATCCTTGAGGGCTTTCCACACCTGATTCAACCAATATTCCAAAATGTTTGAAAGTTTCTCTATGTAAGGACAGTGATGGCAATCTGCCAGGAGGACAGAGGGTTAACACATTGTTCTTTCTCCCTCTGCCTCATGTGTTTATTTAACCTAATCTGCATTTTGTGTATGCTGCATTTGTTGATGAGGCAGTCTTGCCAATGAGCAGCTCAGAAAAGCTGTTTCAGAAAGAAAGCTCTATGCAGCCTTTGGATTGTTTGTTTGTTTGTTTAGGATCACAGCTTCCAAAATTGCTAGCCCGCATAGCCCTCAGTATGTAAGATTTCCTAGCTCAAAAAGTGAATTTCCATGCTGTGTCTGTCAATAAGAACTGAGGCACCATAAAGACTATTAATCAAAACAAAGATTTTGAGGTGACTTTATACTTTTTGGTAATCAGTTAACTGTTTATTTTGTGGCTTGCCTTCTTCAAACAAGACTATAATGCTCACATGTCACTTGAAAATCAATATAAACATCTCATGCTGACAGATATCCCAGTGTTGTCATCATAACGTCTGCTGTGTAATACCATTACAAATCTAGTTTAATGTTCTGGTTTACTTGGTTTTGTGGCTTACCTTCTTCAAACCAGACTATAATGCTCACATGTCACTTGAAAATCAATATAAACATCTCATGCTGACAGATATCCCAGTGTTGTCATCATAACGTCTGCTGTGTAATACCATTACAAATCTAGTTTAATGTTCTGGTTTACTTGGTAATACTGTTGTTGTTTAGTCGTGTCCGACTCTTTGTGACCCCATGGACCAGAGCACGCCAGGCCCTCCTGTCTTCCACTGCCTCCCGGAGTTGGGTCAAATTCATGTTGGTTGCTTCCATGACACCTTCCAACCATCTCAACTTCTGTCGTCCCCTTCTCCTCCTGCCTTCACACTTTCCTAACATCAGTGTCTTTTCCAGGGAGTCTTCTCATGAGATGGCCAAAGTATTGGAGCCTAAGCTTCAGGATCTGTCCTTCCAGTGAGCACTCAGGCTTGATTTCCTTTAGAATGGATAGGTTTGTTCTCCTTGCAGTCCAGGGGACTCTCAAGAGTCTCCTCCAGCACCACAATTCAAAAGCATCAATTCTTCATCGGACAGCTTTCTTTATGGTCCAGCTCTCAATTCTGTACATCACTACAGGAAAAACCATAGCTTTGACTATTCGGACTTTTGTCAGCAAGGTGATGTCTCTGCTTTTTAAGATGCTGTCGAGGTTTGTCATCACTTTCCTCCCAAGAAACAGGCATCTTTTAATTTCATGGCTGCTGTCACCATCTGCAGTGATCATGGAG